CAACTCAGAGTGTTACGTAATTTTTTTTATCAACAGTATCATAGTGAAATTCGTGTTACCTACACTCTACCCTTAAAAACACTTGATTTTAATAGCATGTAACCCTGTGTGACCTCCTTACAGTATCTGTGAATACAAACCCTATCTATATATTCACAATCTTCAAAAAAGGTTCCAAAGATGGGATGTAGGAGAGTAACTGGATTTCCAGAATTTTCTGCTGGATGATGATTAAAATAAATTCAATCAGTTTGTATTTCCATCCATTTCTTTGGCTTTGCAATTGAACTTGGAGAATCTGATAGTCTTATTTTCTTCATGAGTTCCTTTGTATAAACTTCTGTGTCCTCAATATTGGCTTTACGTTTATATTTATTTTCTGTGGCTAAATAATAATTGATAGATAATAAAAAAGTGATTAAAAATAAAGTATTGGAGGAAAAGAAACAAAGATTAGTCAATGTTGTAAACAATATACAAATGGTAAATAAATAAAACAAAATGGAATGAACGAAAAAGAATTTTTTTTTTTTATGCAATTTGTTCATTACCTTCTCCTTTACCAAACTTAACTAATTCCTTCTGTAAGTATTCAGCATGCTTCAACCTATCATCTACATTCTTTTCCAACCTTTCTTTTTCTTTTTCCAACTTCTTTACTCTCTCTTCACACTTTTTCTTCTGTTCTTCATTCATGAATTCTCCCTTATATAACTCATCTTCCAACTCTTCCAACTTTTCTCCCTTGTATTTTCCCACTTCCCACTTCTTCAAATCCTTTGTTGCTTCTTCAAACCTTTCCTCAGCCTTCTTTAATTCTTGTTTTATTCTTCAAATTAAATTTTCAAGAAAAAATTTTTTTTTATTAATTTAGATGCATGATTTCGACCAATGATAAATTTAGTGGACACATGACTTGGAATTCATATTTTTATTACTAATACTAAACTACTAAATTTCAGCAATAGTTTCAGCAAATTAAAAAATTTAGTTTTAAGCAAGCAAAATGCTGAAATTTTAGGCATAATTATTTTACGTGCGAAATTAAATCTAGGTGCCGAAACTAAATCATACTAAATTTAAGTGTGATGGTAGTTTTGGATTGATCAAAAAACTCTATAGGAAAACAAGAGTAGATTGTCTGGGTCATGTGGTTGAAGTGATAAAAAAGTCTAGTCCAGCAGGATTGAATAAAACTCAATGTTATGGAGGTGGAAAAGGTTTTCAATACTTAGATATCAAGTCTATTTTGGGAATTTATTTTAAGAAGCTAAATGGCTTGCAAAGATATCAACATTTTCTTTTTGAAGCATCTAATCTTGGTGTTGTTAAAACTCAAGAGGTTGCTAATGGTCCTTTTACTGAATTCAATTTATTAAAATTAAGAGAACAGATATTTTTGAAGAAATTAAATCTCTATCTATTTTAGTCTTAACACCACCTCCTTTGGATTACAAAAGACAAGAATACCTTTATAATAATATTCGCCCATTTGTGAAAGATGAATACAAAGATATTACTTGTCCAAGGCCATTCTATACTAGCAACAAATAAAATATTCAGAATAAAACCACTTCCATGACTTTGTCCCTCATTTTGCTGTCATTAAGTTTTAACAAGTTTAATCTTTTGACAAATATTGTTAGCTTTTTCCACTTTTTTAAAAAAAAAGACTAAAATAATTTATATACTTAATATGTCCTCATAAAAAGAATATAAGTATATTAAAAGAATAAAAAAAAAAGGTAATAAAAAGAAAGTCATGACAAACATTATAAGTGAACTCCAAGAAAGTAATAAAAAACTGATAGAAGAAAATGAAAATTTAAAGAAACAATTAGCAGATAAAGAAAAAAATCTTAGACTAAAAATCTGACATGTCACTGGTCAGTCTCTTAATGACAAGGGCGAAGTTAGTATGTATGCTCCTAGGGGAACATGATGATACAAAAATCTAAACAAAAAGTGAACGGATGAAGGCAAACTAAGAATGGCAATAGATCCTCAGGAAACTAGAGAATGAGCTAAGAGTTGTAAAAGAGTTTGGTTTGATAACATTACAATTGAAGAAATGTTAGAAGGGTTTATTGATTATCCAGAAAGTTGGTCAAAAATCTCTGATTTGAATACTCAAAAAATTGAACAAAAGGAAAAGTATGAGAATCAAATTGCAGAATTGGAACTAAAAAATGAAGAGTTAGAAACAAAGGTAGAAGAGTTAGATGATGAGGTATGAATGGAGCGAGAAGAAGCTGAAAAAGCACTAAATACAGCCATGAAGTGAAGAAAGCATCAAATGTTTGAAACAGTGTTGAAACACAATGCTGCAATGGGAAAACTTCTGGATCGAATAGACTTGTTGGAAAATAATTTGTTGGCTAAAAATCAAGAAATAAACTGAAGAAATTATTTAGCAACCAAAGAATTGCCAGCTTTGCCAAAGCAACAAAAGGAAAATAGATTACACAAACTCAAAAATTAGTAAGCAAAGTTAAAGAAAAGACTAAAGAGAAGTTCCAAACTTTTATTGTTGTTAAAAAGAATAAGTAAAATGAGATTAGAATATAGAGTATTGGAAATAGCAAAGGATGATGAACAAGAATGTAATTTTTGCTTTCTAGATTTTGACAATCCAACTAATTTCAGCCTTGATACTGCTCCTGCTACTCATCAAATGGTAGGTTGTAATACTCCTGATGGTTATGCTGACATAGTTTTTATTTGTGGAGAATGTAAAAAAGATTATGATAATAATACTCTTCCATGATGTGAAAAGTGTGGTAGGTTAAAGAGAAATAGAAATAGGTGCCTTTGTAGTCATTTAAAAGTTAAATCAACTAAGCAAATTTCTGATAAAGAATTACTTTCACAAGCATTCAGTTCTCATTTAGAAAAGAAAACTAGAGAGCTAGAAAAAGAGTTATCAACTGCTAAAGAAGGGTTAAAAATCAAAAGAGAAGAAGTAGCCAAGTTTCAGGAAAAATCTGAAGAGTGAAGTAAAAAGCAAAAACAGGAGTTATTAGATAAG